CCCAGAATATTTATATGAAATCATACTGTTAGGTTGATCTGTATTTTTGTAACCTAGCATTGACTGCGGTATCCTTTTAGCGATACCATATAGAGTTAAATCTCTATGTAGATTTTTGTGTATTTAATAAGTGCTTGAGGTTTTATTTATTTAAAAGATGTTTTTAGATCAATCTTAGCAGGACTTCAATCCACATCGTTAGTGCGGTAAATCATATTGTTATTTATATTGATTAGTATAAGATTAAATACTTTTCATTACTTGACATAAGTTTGGATATAATCGTAAATATTCCAAACTGGGGTGATTAAGTCGAGAGATTAAGATAAAGTCGACCATTGAAAATATCATATTGCATATCATATTGACACTTTATGTACACACGCAGACAGTGCTCAACTTATCTCAAATATATACATAAAATTAAAACAAAACAGAATAAAATATAGTGTTAACTAACAGTATCAAAAAAAAAGATTTTGAAATAAAAAACGTTAGCGTACAGCGCTAAATGACAAAAAATCTAAAGACTATGAAATCAGAAATATAAATATAGAATATTTTTCTAGCTCAAAGTCAGCGCCGATACCGTATCGTAGTACTGAGTTGGTTTCGCTTTAGATTAAGCAGTTGACTGGTATGTTTCTTGTTTGGACCAAGTCGATCTTGAGATTTGATAGGCGAGTCTATATGCAAAAGTTTTATGTAAATGGAAATGCCTTTTTGGTATGATATTGTGTTTTAAATAATTATTATGTTATTTTGATATAAATGATATACCGTCACGTTTGTAGTGTCACATAAGATGCAATTATATTGCGCTATACAGTGAAGTCTACACTCAGTTTAGTATCTCTAATCACTTAACTAGTAATAATAAATTCACCTGATTATTTTGGTTGAGAAATTTTAGCTCATGTGGTAAAGAATATATAGAATGGTGGTATGGTAGATATAATATGATGCGTCGAGTAAGAATATTTTGACCTGATATTTAGTTAAAATCTGCTTAAATCAACCAAATTATTTTTCTGAGTCTAGCTTCAGTTGCTCAAAATTTATATTATATTGTATATGTAAATAGAATATACACTTGCATATCCCAATTTTATGAGAAATACGTGTATTTTTAATTGTAAACAATGTTGAGTGTTTCCATAAAATCTTAAAAATACTTTTTCATCCATTTTGAGTGTACGAGTACAGTACTTACAATTTTATTTTTTTTGCTAAAAAATATGCCAATTAAGTGAAAAAATTTATTTTTTTTATAAATAAAAATGGCAACACTACAAATAATTGCAGTTTGAATGTTTTCTGCAATTATGACACTGTGTGTCGTAAGCATCTGCAAACAGAATGTTCACGTATATTCGCCGTGACGTCATCTGATAATACTTTACATCATAGCAAATGTTACTGAGAAACTGTGAAGTTCTGGCAACAGTAACAGCAATAGCAGCAGCAGCAGCAGCAGCAACAGCAGTGGCGGCAGCATTGATAGCGGCACCTCGCCTATATTTTTTAACAATATTGGCACATGACCTACTTACACATATACGAAAATAAAACAACAAATGGAATAGAGGCAGCCAATACACACAATCAAACAGACTGACTCACCACGCACACACACGAGCATAGAGTTGCATGCTTGTAAAAACAAAGCCGTTGTCAGTGTAATTCATGTGAGAGTTGCCACTTTTGCCCTACTAAGTACATTGCCCAGCATAATCTGACCTAGATTCATTTTTCAAATGTATAAGCGTTTGTTTGTTTGTGTGTGTGTGTGTAGTGTATCTAATATGTATGCTCCATCAAAAGCATCATAGTTTTTGTGTCATTTGTGCTCATCCTTAGCATATACAGCATCATCACCGTGTATTCAGCTTTGTTGTTTATCGTCGTCAACAAAGTATCTTGCGACGGGTTGACAGCAGCAGTGTCAGTGGCATTTGCTGCTTTAAGCCTGGTTAACATCAGTTTTCCCCATGCATCTCCAGTATTTATTTGTTTTCATGCGATTCGAATTAAAGCAACTTATATACATGCATTTTAACATTTTATTCTTTTTTTTATTTTTTTATATTTTTATATTTTTATTTTTTATTTTTTATTTTTTTCCACTCAAGTATTTTTGTATATTTTTTATGATTTGAACTTTGTGTGAAAAACTGATGATGGACGTCATTTCGCTTTGCTTTCTGTGTTCACATATTTTCATTTACCGATTGCAACTAATGCATTTGGGGATTTATTGCAGGGAAGACCTTTTTAAGGATTGAGTTTTGCTCTGTTTGGAAAAGGGGAAGAAACTAGTTCATGTATGGTAAAAACTTTAAAAATTATTTATAAAACGTCAACGTATTATAATTTGATTTTATTTTTATAGTGATCAGTTACTTGTGTTATAATTGTTGAATATAAAATCAAATAACTTCCCTAGAAGATTAAATATTTTCAAAAAGAAAAATTATTTGATTCAAATTCACTGATATCCATGGCATTTATTTACTAATAAAAAAATAGTAATAATAGTAATAGTGAAAGATTAATAATAGCATATAAATTAATGGTGTTCACTTTATTGAAATAGTTTGATCATCGAATTATTTAGTAGATATAAATATTCCTACGTAGATTACATTAGATTTTGAAAGGGTTGGAGACTATGTCACTACGGCACTGCATCTTTTGAGAATTATTGTGACAAAACCAGTTTCGTTCCATAGGCGCATTGCAGTTAAAAATGCCATTATGTCCTTTGAGGTGATCTTACCTAATTCCGTTATAAGTGTATAAGCAATTGATAAGTACCGAAGTCTGACTCTGGCAAGATTATCACAGTGACACATATTGTGTTATACTATTTCCTACTCTTCGTGACAAAGTTGGCATCTCTCGTTACTTGTAATATCTAGATTCGATAAATATTTTTTGTCTCCGCAATGTTCAGTGAGAAACTCTGTGACAAAATGAACGCCTTTTCTGTTCAGCATTAGTAGTTCCTTAGTTCTAGCATTTGAGGGATTCGGCATGAACTCTTAAGCTTGTCTGCAGGCAATTGCGCTATCCAATCAATCTGAACTGCTTTTACCAGCCATTCATTAATTTTAAGTTTAAAAAACCTACATAAGGACATCAGAATAGTTTTGGCGTATAATATGAGACCACTTCTTTTCAGGGTAGTTGGGCTTTCTCGTTTCCCTCAAATCCTCTGTTTCCTGGAATCCATATTAAGTGGACTCTGTTCCTTTCATTCTCACACTAAATTTAAAGTCACTCGATGCGAACGTAATCAGGAGTACTGATTTGCTGTCAGAGAAAATATGGTCTAATAAGGCATTTATACATACGGACTTTTTGCTGTCTTGATGAGATTGTAGATTTAAAAAGTTTTGTTTATATGCAGTACGTCTTATTAGTTGCCTGAATTCTATCTTCTATCGCAGCTGATGTGTCTTCTTTAGAATTCAGTATCAATCAAAGATATTTGAATTCTGTGACGGCTTCAAACCTATTATTGTCAAGAATAAACTGGTTACTACAGACTCTAGATTTTGATCTTAGCATATATTTCGCATTTTAATGATTAACTTTTAGTTCGATTAATGCAGTGGAGTTCTTAAATTTTCTTAATGACGATCTTAAAGCATTGGGGCTTCTGACTAATATAGTAATATTATCGGTGTAGCCACAAAATTGGATGCCGTTGTTAAACAGATTTTTATCAACGTTCATTTCTGATAGGACACTATTAAGTATAAGTATTAAGGAAGATTAAATATAAGGGAAGAGAGAGTATTACTGAGGCTCGTGATTCAACTCTGAGCGGGTCTGTTAAATTATCTCGAACGAATACTTGACTTGTTGTGTTCTGGAGTGTTAGTATAATTAAGTTGGTCAGTATTATTGAGATTCCACTCTTTAATAGTGCTAACTTAATTTTTGACCGGTATATTTTGTCAAAAGCTTTTTGAAAGCCTATGAATGTATAGTCAATATCATATTCATGGAACTTTTCGAAAATCTGACATATTGTAAAATATTGATAAATGGTTGATCTACTTGGAGGGAAACTGTATTGATATTTACCCAGTACTTATCCGTTGTTGTATCATAAATGAGACACCTTCCTTTTGCCAGCGCCAGAGGCCAACTTAAAGGCAGAAGCTCCAAGTATGTACCACACAATCGACTTCTTTTTAAAAAGGTGTGACTCCTCTATTGGAGAACCAAACTGATATATTTGTAAATTTGGCTAAGCCCTTGATTTTAAAAGATGGCAGTTTTGTTAGATCAGTTAGGAATGAGGTCCCGAAGATTTAGAATCTTCTCCAAGCCAAGGTAAAGGTAACCAAAAACTATTTTGTACATGTCCTGAACATGCGCGGCGCCATTTATTTATTAATGTTGTGTACTTTCTTGGAATTCTTGATCAGTTCCAGAACCTCCCTTGAAAGAGCATTTTAGAGACGATTTTGTGTTTTTTAAGAATTTTAACTTATATTTCGAGCGTTATTTTTAGTATATTTCTATAAGTATTTCAGCAAATTCGCTTTTGCTTTCATCAGGAGAATTTCTAATATTAAAAACAACTATGCAACTTATATGTAAACTATTTATACTTATTACAGATCTTATATATAATTTTAGTTAATAGAAT